CTCAATGGATAGAGCGTCGGCCTGCAGACTGAAGGTTTGATTCTGGTCAGGGGCATGTACCTTGGTTGTGGGCACATCCCCAGTAGGGGGTGTGCAAGAGGCAGCTGATCGATGTTTCTCTCTCATCGATGTTTCTAACTCTCTATCCCTCTCCCTTCCTCTCTGTAAAAATCAGTAAAATATATTTTAAAAAAAAGAGAGGACAAGTAAATGTGCCCACATGGTTCATCATCTGGAACCAAGTTAGTGGGTGCCCTGCAGCATTCTATTGGACAATATCTAAGGATTCTTTCAGAGAACTAATTTAGTCAGGGATCCAGGGTGCATTTGACCACTATGCCCCCTAGTGGGCATTTCAGGAAATTATTTTGCTTAGAACTACAGATGCTTCATGAGAACTTGAGTGAATCCCACCACCACCACCACCTCACCCCTTGGCTCCGTGGATGAGGGTGTCATCTTTTCTCAGAAAGAACTTTAGACTAAAGCCATCTCTGCTATGTACTGTATGCCATGTGAGATCATTGGCTCTAATGTGAAGCTCATTATGTTCATTACGGAATGTTTCTCAAATGTATTAACAGCCTGTGTAATGTTTAAAGGCTATAGATTTATTTTTCTAAAGAGAACTGGAGACCAGTACTTGGGAACTATATTAGAAAGTATTGTTTTCCTGTGACTTCTAATCAGTTCCTATCAAGTGCGAAGGGAAATGATATATTAGATGAGACAGTTCAGTGTTCAAAAGCATCTCACATCATATCAAGAGATGGTGATGTACGCGGACTCACAACACTTTAAGTTCCTTGTAGGTTTGCCTTCCATGGGGGAAAAGGTTTAATTTAAAATTTGTTAAATTTCTCCTTTAATTTCTATAAAAATTTGTGTAAGAAACATCTATCTGAATTCCACCTCTGCAGTTGCTGCCAAAGATCAAGAGCATGCTCATTGTCTTACTCCAAGGCCTCTCTAAAGCTGGTATTTAAGTGGTGTTCTAGTAAAGCCATCTCCAACAACGCAGACTTTGGTAAACCATCCTCCTCCATGCGTCCTTCTGTCTCCTTCTAAGGTGAGTAACTTGTAAGATCTCTGTTTCTCCCTGGGCATGAACTTTGAACAGAGGGACATTCCATTTCTCTTTCTGCTTTCTCTTTCCATTTCTGTCTGATCATCCCGGAAAGTACGCTAGCCTGGGACGGTCCCTCTCTGACCAGCAGATCCCAGTGGAAGGCTGGACTGAGAAACTAGGTGTATTGTTAGGGAAGTTAATGGGAAAACAATATTCTTTTGGAGCAAAACTTCCTCATAGGTCAATGTTACGAGGCTATTTAAATTCTCCAGAGCAGAGGATCCCTGTCTGCCCCTTTTGAAGTGAATACCATGCCAATCCAAGCAATCAGAATATACTTGTCACTTACCCACTTGGAATACAATTTTGTCTCAACCCTCGGCACAAAACTGACAGCTTTAATCATGACATCATAAATATTTAAAAAGATGTCTATATAGTCTTCGAACTGAGGTTCAAACTTAATGGTGTCATTATCAAGAAGCAGCCTCATGATGAAACCTGGATGTTCAAAAGCTCTGACAGAATCCTGCAAAAAAGCATATATTCTTGGGTTGTTATTTATTAATTAGTGTATCACTTTCCAGATGAACGACTGTAAACCTGCTTCTGCCCCACTCCGCACAGATGAACTGTGCTAGACTGAGAAGCGTGCTGGCCCCGTGGGAATACGGGGAGCCCACCGGTCCTCTGACGCCTGGACGGTTAAGCCGACGAAGAGCTACTGAGAAGGGCAAGTGACTCCCAGCTGGACTTGCTGGTGCCTAGCAGCCATGGGGCCTACAGATTCTGGGAAAAGGAGGGTGTGCACGGAGAATCGCGCAAAAAAAGAGCCCAACGGGAGAACATTCAAATTCCCAGACAAAAGCAAAGTCCCAGGTCCGGCTCACACTGTAATAGAACCTCTTCCGGAAAGAAGAGAGTTTCTCGTGGAAACGTTCCCCGGCCATCATGACCCAAATTTCCTAATTATGGGAATTTTCACTCATTGCTGCTAATCCTCACCAATGTGCTGATGGATACCCACATCTCTTAAACTCATAGGTTCACATTACTGCTAACTTTGTGTGGTTTTTTTAAACAGATAAGCATAAGAGGTCAAAGGACATACAAGGTGAGGCAAAAGAAGGTTTATAGTTGTGAGTATGCGAAACACAGTTTGTTCTTGTGCTATTATTTATTAATTATTGTTTTATTTTCTGAAAGAACAGTGTAACCTCATTATGCCCCACCCTGTACTGGCTGCTGTCCCACTGGTAAAGGCATTTTAGCCTTTCTTCCCTGAAAAGACTGAACACGAGTAAGTTAGTAAATGGATGCTGGTGTAGCTGAGCCAAACATACTGGGGGCTGTGCGATCAGGTCTGTGAAGTCCTGCATGGAGGACAGCGTGAGGTCCTGCAGCTGTAAGGTCATCAGCGCCGCGGCGCAGTTGAAAAAGGCCTCCAGCTTGGCGCTGCTCTCGCCCGTGGGCAGCTGCTTCTTTTTGTTGCCTTGGTAATAGATGTTCTGCACTTCCGGAAACCACCTTGAAAGAACAACAGGCTCTTAAAAGCTCACGCTCTTAGCGAATGACCCCTTTCGCACGGAGCGGTACCGGTAACGTCTGGACAGCTGAAGGCCTTCGCAGAGCGGCACGGCGCTAAGTGACACTGCCCGCTCCCGGAATGTGAGCGCTGGCCTGTTTCCCGTCTCCCAGGAACGGACACTTTCATCAGAGCCTTTAGAAAAATACGACACCTAACTTTATAGACTATTACAAGGTACTCCTGCCGTCCAGGCTCCCAAATGTTCTCCGGGGAACGGATTTGCTGAAAGCGAGCATGTGAACAACTGATTGAGCCAAGGGAGCGTTTGCTGGGTTCAACCCAGTGGCATTCTATGCTGTTCTATCCATTTCACAATGACTTGAAAATAAGGTACAAATCAAGCATATTGTATTTTTATTCCCTTGAATGTGAAATCCTGAGTGACTGAGATTAAAATGTGTATGTATCCTTATGATAAAAGGAAAACAGTGAAACTCATATATAGATAGATCAGAATGATAATAGGTGAAGTTTTCAGTTTACAAAACCACTGTCCAACACTACAAAATTCAGGAATGCTGGTACCTCTTTCACAAGATATAATGAATTTTTTAAAACAGGGAATTCATAATCTCAGGAGTTGCCTGAGTGCTTGAGGAGCAAGCTAAGCTTTAAATATATGCATCTATCCCAACTATAATAATAAAAGCATAATATGCTAATTAGACCAGATGTCCTTTCCGACGACCTTCCGGATGAAGCTGGGGCTGCGAGGGAAGCCCGGGTCCCGGGTGCCAGAGGGAAGCCAGTGCCGGCAGCCGGGGGAAGGAAGGCCAACTCTTGCACGAATTCCGTGCATCGGGCCTCTAGTGAACAAATATGTGTTCAGTGTCTACTGTGTGCTGGGAACATGTCATGGGAGATATAAAACTTTATGACATCATCCCTTCTCTCACAATAATGAAGGCCATGTGTCATGGCAGCAAAACAGCTTTGACGTCAAAGGACAGAGATGGAATTTCCCATTTACTAGTGAAGAAGGGTTTTATAGTGAAGACGGCAGTTTCACCAAAGAATAGACAGAAATGATGCCCCGCCGACTTATGAACCAGGAGGTCAGGATTTGATTCCTGGTCAGGGCACATGCCCGGGTTGTGGGCTCGAGCCCCAGTGTGAGGGAGGCAGGAGGCAACCGATCAATGATTCTCTCTCACCATTGATGTTTCTCTCCCTCTCTCCCTCTCCCTCCCTCTCTGAAATCAATAAAAATATATATATTTTTAAAAGAATAGATAGACCCTGAGAAAAGGATCTGGGGTAGAATAGTAAGTAGAACCGGTGGGCTTGGTGAAGATAATATATCTGATCGTGTCACTGCCTATAGTAGAGACGATCGGCTAGAAAACAGGAGGAAGTAAGTGGGGGAAATGCTGTGAGGGCTTTTGCAGAACTTGGGAGCTAAGGGTTCGAACTTGGGACAGCCTTACCCTTTTAGATGGAGCCCTGGTGCAATTATCATTTGGCAAATCGAACCTCCAATGAGATTGTAAACTACTTTAAAGAATATATTTTCCCCATCATTCTTTAAACTCCTCTGCATCTCTCATCCAAAAGCACAATGGAAAAAGCCTAGCAACTTGCATGTGCCAACAGTAGATGTCAGATAGATATCTGGGAAGTCACTAACTGATGGTCATCCCCCCATGGGACAATAAGGACGAATCTTGAGAGTATTGTGTTAAGCGAAATAAATCAGAGCTGAGGTGGAAACCAGACATTAAGAAAAAAGTAACCGTCAATCATAATCATTTTGGTTTCTGTACAATCTGTGCTGCATAGAACATTTGGGTAGATATCACAGACCAGAGCAGTTAACCATATCATATTTAACTCTTAAGCAGAAATGATTACAAACTTGTTAAAATTGATCTTCTAAAGGCAGTTAAAAATGCAGAACCCCACCAATCTCATCTTTAAGTTCATTATCCTCTGTCAAAACTTTACGTTTTAAGTAGAGCCTCTTTGGCAGTTTCCAGGTGTCTCATGATGATGGTCTGAAAATTTGACAGCTCTAATGCCTCCTGGCGATTGTGAAATTCTTCTGTATCAATTAAACGTAATTTCCTGTGAGATACAAATGAACAGTGATTTAAGTATGAGATGTTTTCGTATGTAGTATTTTGCTATTTGATCCCTTCTAAAAAATATATGATATTTCTAAGTTTTATCACTAAAATTTGTGTTTCATAAAATTAAAAACTCAAGCACATGAGACATTATGATTTTAAATATAATTAATATGCTTTTGCACGTGACTTTCCAACTTTCCCAGCACCATTTGTTGAAGAGGCTTTTCCCCATCCATCATATGTTTTTGGCTGCATTATAAAAAATGTATTTGCCCATGTACATGTAGGTTTATTTCTGGACTCCCAATTCTGTTTCATTGGTCTGTGTGTCTATTTTTCTACCAGTGCCATGCTGTTTTAATGACTGTCACTTTGTAGTATAATCTGAAGTCAGGGAGTGTGACACCTCCAGCTTTGTTCTTTTTTCTCAGGATTGCTTTAGCTATCTGGGGTCTTTTGTGGTTCCATTTGTCCCCATACACAAAAACTAACTCAAAATGAATCAAAGACCTACATATAAGACCTGAAACAACAAATTATGTAGAAGATAATGTAGGTAGTAAACTTATGGACTTAATATATGTGGTCTACTCATTGATTACCTATTGGTATAATTGTGTTACTATAATTTAACTCTAGATTTCTTCCCTATTTCCATGTGATTAAGTGATTTCTATATTATCTGAAAGATAGTAACCACAATTAAAAACATCACATTTAGGGAGCATTATCTCAATTCGTTGAGGTTCTGCCTCCCGGCATATGTCGACAGTTTGGCTCAAATAAACTCACAAAAATTTTTTAAAAAAACATCACATTTAATTTTTACTTAAAGGTCAATATAAAATCCCGGCTAGTAAACAAAAAACACATTTCAAATCGGTTGATTGCTACTCACAGACAAAGCCTCGCCCTTTCTGGACAAGCTGAGCCCCGGAGCCCGCCCAGCCCGGTGTGTCCCGCAGCTCCACCTGCGGTGGCCGAGAGGAAGACACACGTGGTGGCGGGAGAAAAGGCTCGTAGACCCCGCCTCCCCTTCTCCCCCCAAATCCTCCTAGGCCAGGATGCCATCTCCTCTGCCATAAAGCGGGGCCCGTCCATGTTTTGAGGGGGCTGTTGGGAGGCCTTCTTTAAGAAAAATAACACATATGCATTACTTTTGCACATTTACAAAGACACAACCCCAGCGCCCTGGAAGTGGCGGTTCGGGGAAGGGGAGATGATGAAGATGGAGCTTCCAGAACACGAGGCAAACCGGCCTCAGCCGGGCGACCAGCTCCCCAGCCTCGCAGCGCCCACCAGAGCTCCGCCTGCTGGCCCGTCCCCGCCAGGACAGGGTCCCGGAGGTGATGCCTGGCCCAGGTCACCCAGGACCGTCACTCGGGCCACGCGCATGGGCAATATTGTCTAGGGAGCAGCCAGTGTTCTGTGGGATTCAAAACAGGGCGTGATATGCCCAGCCGGGGTGGCTTAGTGGTTGAGCATCAACCTATGAACCTGGAGGTCAGCATTCAATTTCGTCAGGGCACATGGCTGGCTTTTGGGCTCAATCCCCAGTGTGGGTGGTGCAGGAGGCAGCTCATCGATTCTCTCTCATCATTGACGTTTTTATCTCTCCCTCTCCCTTCCTCTCAGAGATCAATAAAAATATATTTTAAAAAAAACAGGGCATGATAATTCAGCCCCTTAAGTGTAATTACCCCTTAAAGATTGTGTGAGAAGGGAAAGGAGGAAAAATGGGAGATATCTATAATACTATCAACAATAAAAAATATATATTAAAAAAAGATTGCGTGATATCAGGGTATGGGATGGGGAGGGGAGAACTGGCTTAGAGATAGAGGCAGTGTTTACTTTGTATTCTATACATTTCTATATTGCTCATTTAAAACTGTGCTTAGATACTTACATTGAATTGGTGATATTTTTAATATTTGCCGTTAAAGCAGAAAGGAAACAGTGAAGATGCAATGCGATAATTTCCATCTCAAAAACAACACAAAACTCAGCCCAGCCAGACACTCACTTGAAGGTGCTGTGCCACAGGTCCAGCACCGCCAGCATCGTGGGGTTCATGGCGTTCAGGTGGTCCCTGATGTAGCTGCTCGCGGCCAGGAAAGATTTCCTCCAAGGTTTCGGGAGAATTTCCATTCTGAAAACAGAGAAAACACTATGTAACCTTCTCTAAAGATCAAGAGACAGTGTTTTATAGTTCATGTACTTTTTGAGTAATAATGGCTTAATTTTAATAAAAAATATGATGCATCCCTCCTGGTAATCACAGTACAAGTCATGCTCTTTAGAAAAAAAGTAAAACTGAATTGGTTACCTAATTATGTCAGCATTCTTCAAACTTATTTTACCAAACTTATTTTGGTAATTATTTTAGAGAAAATATATAACAAGCTAATTTTCCCATTATGTGTTCCATATTTTAATCCATGTAATAAAATAAAATATATTCTTTGTGTGCATATTTCCTGCCACCTTCCCAATGTGGTTTGGGGCATTCAAATTGCCATCAAACTTTTATATCCCTACTAGAGGCCCAGTGCATGAAATTCGTGCACTCGGGGGTAGGGGTATTTTACCAAACTTATTTTGGTAATTATTTTAGAGAAAATATATAACAAGCTAATTTTCCCATTATGTGTTCCATATTTTAATCCATGTAATAAAATAAAATATATTCTTTGTGTGCATATTTCCTGCCACCTTCCCAATGTGGTTTGGGGCATTCAAATTGCCATCAAACTTTTATATCCCTACTAGAGGCCCAGTGCATGAAATTCGTGCACTCGGGGGTAGGGGGTGTCCCTCAGCCCAGCCTGTGCCCTCTCCAAGTCCGGGAGCCCTTGTGAAGCTCCCGCCACCGCCTGCTGCACTCACCAGCTGTGAGCCCGGCTTCTGGCTGAGTGGCACTCCCCCTATGGGAGCTCACTGACTACCAGGCAGGGGGCAGCTCCTATGTTGAGCTGCCCTGGTGGTCAGTGTGCATCGTAGAGACCGGTCATTCCACCATCAGGCTGAAACCGGCTCTCTGACATCCCCCGAGGGGGTCCCAGATTGAGAGAGGGTGCAGGCCAGGCTGAGGGACCCCATCAGTGCACAATTGGGGCAGGAAAGGGATGCAGGAGGTTGGCCGGCCAGGGAGGGACCACAGGAGGGCTCTAGGGCATGTCCAGACCATCTCACTCAGTCCCAATCAGCCATACCCCAGAAGCAAGCTGCTCCCTGGTGGTCAGTACATGTCATAGCAAGTGGTTGAGCAACCTTAGCATATCATTAGCATATTACGCTTTGATTGGTTGAACAGATGACCGGACAACCAGACACTTACCACATTAGGCTTTTATTACATAAGACTAGAGGCCTGGTGCACAAAAATTTGTGCACTCGGGGGGCGGGGGGAGGTCCCTCAGCCCGGCCTGTGCCCTCTCACAGTCTGGGACCCCTCAGGGGATGACCATCTGCTGGCTGAGGCCTGCTCCACAGGGGATTGGGCCTAAGCTGGCAATCAGACC